ACATTTAGAAATTCTTTTCAGATGTCTGAAAGTGGAGGTATAATTTTAAAATCTCTTTATAAAACTTGTGTATTATCTATTTATAATACTTAATGCAATTTCAATAAACATGTGCTACGTTAAATCATATACATGTACCTTAAATCTATTATATACATGTACAGTGTATTAGTTTTGCATTCAATGTTATACAGTCCAGTCCAATACGAAAATTCGTAATATTACAAGTTATCGTAATATAAAATTTATATTACAATTTTTCGTAATGTAGTAAAATTACGAATACGCGTAATATAGCAGATTGTAAGAGACTATATTACGAGTTTTCATAATCCAAGACAATTTAAGCATTGCGAGAAATTGAGTGGTGGGTAGCAAAGCATGACGTCAGTAATATATCAGATTCCACGGCTACTGATAGCACGCGGTCAGTTTGGTCAGATACGCCTATCAGAAAGCATGGAAATTCAAGATGAAAGTACCGCCAGCGATAGGTGAGTGGACAATTTCTTTTATTATTCTTTTATAGGAATTTTCCCTAGGATAAGACCAATTTTCCAGTAAATTTCAGCATTCGCTGAAGCATGTCGCATTGGTCTATATCACCCGAACTCCCTACTTTTCCTGCGAAGTCTACCCTAAAGATCACACCCTCGTCTCATAACTTAACTGTTCGTGCAATTCTTATTGAAATACACAGACATTCAAATCTCAGTAGGAGTGGTACAAGTTATCGCCCGTGACATCTCGTATTAAACGTCATACTTTGCTACCCGCCACTCAATTTCTTGCAATGCTTGAATTTGTCTTGGATTACGAAAACTCGTAATATAGTCTCTTACATCTGCTATATTACGCGTATTCGTAATTTAACTACATTACGAAAAATTGTAATATAAGTTTTAAATTACGATAACTTGTAATATTACGCTTTCTCGTAATCTTACGATTTTTCGTAATATTACGAATTTTCGTATTGGACTGGACTGTTATAATAGAAACAGATATGTCATATATAAAAACAGGTGTGATGTACAAAGTGAACATCACTGAATTGTTAATTAAAGAGGAACCAGATATCCATTCAGAAAGCTTCATTTTACACTCACACAAGTCTTCTCATGAATTTACTTCCTGCTGACACAATCTCTCCCAGGGTACACTCCATTCTCCCCAGGAAGTCCTTCAGGAAAAAAATAAAGAAATGATGAATTAAGACCTATGTGTAACAGTAACAAGAACAGGGAATATTTTAAAGTCGTGGATATTTGATTTCTGATGTGAGTTACATGTAACTGCCAGTTCCGTTTTACTTTGATTATTAAAATCACAAAGCAATTGCAAAGTGCAAATAGGAATTTTATGAACAACAATTAAAATTATTATTTTGTAGAAATTTTTTTAATTTTGTTTACCCAGAAATCATGATACAGTTCAGACCTACGTGTACATGTATTTATCTGCACACCTATTATGTGTCTGAATGATAACATCATTTTGGGTATACATTAAAGACACAAAAATATTTTGATAGTTGTAAAATGTCCAATTAGTTAAATATATATGCACTATGGTCTTCTTGTGTTTAACTGTAAGTGAGTATAATTGTAAAATGTCCAATTAGTTAAAGATATATGCACTATGGTCTACTTGTGTACAACTGTAAGTGAGTATAATTGTAAAATGTCCAATTAGTTAAATATATATGCACTATGGTCTACTTGTGTACAACTGTAAGTGAGTATAATTTAATGCGTAATGAAAATTTACTTGCTTTCTAGAAAGACAGTGAATAACAAGTGAGCTTTATTCATATCCAAATAATATAACTACGTACATGCCATTATATCCTCTAATACGTTTTGCTCACTCTTTCTCTCTCTAAGTGTTTTAACTTACATGCTTAGATAAATCTGCACTCTTTGAATCCACATCATAGCTGTATAAATGAATGAGACTGTATCAACATGGTTAAAAGATGATTCAATTTTATTTTTAATGCTTTTTCAGACTTGCATTACTTTTAATACTTGATATCGCAATTACTTAACTTAGCGGAACTCTTTCGCGCAGGAGGTAGGAATCGTCTGTTGGGTGGGGGCAATGTGCTATTCAATACAATGCAAGATCGATCATTGTAGCATTTATAAGGACAGATCAGTAAAAAAAATCCTGGTGGAATACCTCGCTAAACAATCGCAGAACCAGCCTAATATATTTTTGAGAGGAGCCAATTCTAAATTCTCACATTTTTAACGATATTTTTAATTAAGCGGACTCTTCTCGTTAAATTTTCACTGAAAATCATCACGTTTTTAAGCAGATAAAATATTCTAAACTTTCCTTATTTGACAATCTACTATTTGAAGTTCAGTCCTTAGCAATACATTGTACTTTCCACGTAAAATTGTTCGAATCATTTGATTGTCAATACTGTAAACAATGTCATTTGCCCCCAGAAATTTAGACTTTTCTCAACTCCCCCGCAAAAGAACGGTAGTAAGTTAGATAACTGCGAGGTACTCATTGGTAGTCGCGATATAACGTATTCAGAGAATGTCTCAGCCTTTTCTCAGTCATTGCATAATACGCTGCAATAATTTATCTTTACTATGCATTTAAAATGCAAAATAAACTATGACTTACACTTCAAACTTCAATTTCTGGCTTTGTTCAAAATAGTAATGCATCACAAATTTCTTGACAAAATCTGGATTAAGGTTGTTCCATATGATTTCAGTTCGCCCAAACTGAAAAAAAGAAAAAGATTTAAGTCACATGCTCATATATCAGAGCAAAGCGTTTTAATTAATGGACTGATAATAAAAAAAAAAATAACATGTTTACTTTTTCAAAATGTTAGCTTGAGTTGTAGCTTTTGTTTACATTCATCTTAAAACAAAAGTATGAGGTGCATTTTTAAAAAAAAAAAAAAAAAAAAAAAAAAAGCTGCACAATTAGTATATCCTAGCTGGCATATATTTCTATCATCTGTAAATTCCTTTATTTCAAGGTGAATCTCTCCTCTCTTACCAAATATAATTTTGGACAAAGTTTTCATTTGAAGATGATATACAAGCATTCAGATATTCCTTACATCAAAAAGTTCACATTAGTGAAATTACTTATTATGTAACACGTAAGATAAAGGTACGTAGAGTAACAAAATTGAAGATGTAATCACTAGAATCTTACCTCTTTCCAATTCTTGCTTTGATCCTGGGTGAAAAGAACACACACTGCAAAACAAAAGCTTCAAAATTAAAGAATTTAACATTGAGACATAAATTTAATGCACTTGTAATTCTAGGTTTTAAACATTTTAAATGTACTTCTGTTTATTCTTTTGTTATGATTATTACTTATATAAAAATGTATATTAAAAAAAAAATTGGACTTACTGGGATCTGACTTGGAAAAGACATCTGCGTCAATCAATTTTCTAAAAAAAAAAAAAAAAAAAAAAAAAATAGTAAACTTCAAAAAGTGCATTCACAAGATTTTATTTATTTTACTGACAGTAGCATGCTCATAATGTAATCACTGATAATATTACTGTGTGGGGGGAAGAGAGCACTTGTCATTAGGGACTTGGCATCAGAATAGTTAATATCACACATCACTGTGCAGTAGTCTAAATGTTTACAGGGACATTCATGATTGAAAGACAGACAAATAACAGTGCAAAATCCTGAAATTGAGCATCTTCTAAAAGAAAGAATTTATTTTCATTATTAATGCTTTCTGAAATTCTACTTTAAAACTTTTAAATTCATGAACAGACTCCATATTATGGTGTAAACACAAGGTTGACGTTTATAATTTTATTGTAAACATTGTTAGAGGAAATTCGAGTTGTGATGCGCAAAATGTAAACAAACGATTTATAAATACATTTTGTACTCTGGGGAGAATAATTACAGAATAAAATAAGGTTTGCACCAACCTGCATGACACAGAGAGTTCTACTAGGGTGGCAGGGGCCACACCCGTCCCAGGTTGAAATGCTCCGCTTGCCATTTTCGGTTATTTGCGAGTTACTGACCCGAAATTGCGTCGGGCGCGGTGGCGGATTTACCAAGCCTTTGGTGGGATTTCGTAATGTATTCGCATCTCATTTTCTACGCACTTCCTCGATATTTGCGAAATGTTCGACAGGAAAACCCAGTTCTTATGCTAATACTGCAATTATACATACATGTATTAATTATTAAATTGACAGTAAGAAAAAAGTCTGAGTGAGTTTTTCAAATCAAAATTAATTAAACTTACAACTAAATCAAGGGAATAAAACAACTCTCTCAACATTATTGTCTTTTTAAAAAGCAAGGCCTTGTCCGAAGGAACCGGGTGGTGGTGGTGGTGGGTGGGCGGGGTTAATAAGATATGTGGGGAAAAAAGAAATCGTATGATAACGTTTCTTTCTTTAACCCCCCCTTTCCCCAAAGAAAACTAACTTCAAAAATTTTAAATATAAAATTTAGCTTATTTTTCTAAATGTACATGAAAGCAGAGATAAACGTTCTGAATTCAAGAAAAATTTACGAACAAAAAATACAGATCTATTATCAAATTAATTCATGATATGATTTAAACTGATATATTTAAAAAAAAATGAATTTTACAGTAGGCGGCTATATTCATTCATTCATTCATTCATTCATTCATTCATTCATTCATTCATTCATTCATTCATTTATTTATTTATTTATTTATTTATTTATTTATTTATTTATTTATTTATTTATTTATTTATTTATTTATTTATTTATTTATTTGAAATGTTTTAATTTAATAATATAAATATTAAATAATCTCATGCGCATGCAATTAGTATTGTATTGATTTATTCAACTCCCCCCCCCTTTTTTTCTAAGGCTACGTACATAATTTTTCCCCTGTATAAGTAACCTGTTTCGTATTATATCTAAGATATAAGTTATAAATTATTAAATATACACATATAATATGTAGAAAATGTATTATTATTAAAAAAGAAAGATATCTTTTTGTCAGCCCGCTAGCTGTTCATTATATGTTACAGTATTGTATTCCAAGTCCTAGAACCCGTTGTACATGTACCTGCTTCAGTTTTAAGCTACAATATATACATGATTTCAGAATAATCCCGAAGGGACATTCCTGTATAAAAATAAAACTAATACTAAGCTCTCCATTTTGTTTCACATTTTTCCGTACCCCAAGGAATGACATTTTTCAAATAAAATATTATTTTATGAAACATATTTTAAAATAACAGTATTCAAGAACAAAAGTCCATGAAACAATTACAATGTAGGAGTAAAATAGCAAATACGGACCTCCAAAACATCACTGAGGTGTGGGATCAGGTGCCATAAAGGAATGAGCATCCCCTGCCGACCGGTCACACCTGCCGTGTGCTCCTTGTCATAATCGGGAAATAACGAAAAAAATCCGTCGTCAATATTCAGTGTAAAAATAATGGACTAACCATTAGTATGAAAAAAGTCAGTCAGCATTTGACTCAATGATAAATTGACTATTTGGTGACAAGGTCATTGTATGACACATTCACAAAGTATTATTACAGCTGAAAAATACAAAATTTTAGATAAAACTGACCTAGCTTTTGTAAAAATTCATATATACTCACTGAACATGTGCAGAACTGTATTTTATGTGCATTTTATTACAGCGCCTTCAGGAGGGAGAGTAATGCTCATTGAGAGACTGCATATGTCTGATATGGTCTTTCGACTTTTTGTTACACACAAGTGTTTGACGACAGGACACCCTCCCCCCCCAATATAGACCCCGGGCCTTTTTCTTTTTTTCCCCAAATTATATATAGATGGCACATTTGCAATGTGCATGAATGACATTCATAAAATTAGGCCTAATGCAATCCATAAATTCAGAAAATTTGCTGAAAAACACAAACATCTTATCTAAAAAATCTACCCCACTCTTTATATGATATAGAAATTTGCAGAGTTACTTAGTGTACATAGTAAATTTACCAAAAATGACATTGAACCCCCTTTAGAATACGTGCAACCCCCTGTCGTATGGAAATTGTATTATACAGAAAGTTGGATCCGCGCGTTTTATTTGGTACTTCCGCTTTTACAGTGAGCTCACGCGAGAAGAAACGCGATTTTGCCTTTTCCTCGTGTCCACCATAATGAAAGCTCGTGGAGATGTAATTTCAATTAAATTTATATTTTTGTTGAATTTGATTGCATTTCTCTTTGTAATGATGTAAACACAAATAAATATAGTTCTAGTATCTTCAGTTAGGTGTACATTTTTCACTTAAACCCCACTGATTAGGGAGAAACGACTTTATTGATAAAAGGGGGGATGGATGCCATGTGCTGTTTTGGATTTATTGTCTGATGTACATTTCTCTCAGAATCTTTGCTTTGACGTTTATTCATTGATCAATATTCGTGTATATTACAAAGTAAACAAATGCTATGCGCAATGTACATTATACAAATATTTTCATTGTGTGACTAACTGTCTATGTAATGTATGCATAGAAAATAAGTTTGGAATTCATTTTTGTTATTTTTTCCAGTTGAAGGAGTACCAGGTGGTCGGGCGGATGATGCCCCGCCCCAGGGACCGTACCCCTGCTCTGTACCAAATGAAAATTTTTGCCCCAGACAAGTGTACAGCTAAGTCTAGGTTTTGGTACTTTGTGTCACAACTGAAGAAAATGAAGAAGACCCAGGGGGAAATTCTCCAGTGCAGAGAGGTGGGTATTTTAGACGGTTCAAATTCTGTAAGTGTGGAATATGGTATTGGTTATAATCAATGAATGTCATAGGTAACTGCATAAATATTGCATTCAATGTAAACATTTCAATTACAACACTGAAGAACTGACAAAGGTTGCAGTGTTCATTCTAATCTCAGCGATATTATCGAGGCGGGTGAAGACTTTGTACTGAAAAATGTGCCTTTCGGAAAAACATCATTAAAAATTTTAGTTTCAATAAATCTCCAGAGATTATGCTCATTCCTGAACCGTTTAAATTGATAATTTATTTATATTAAACTTTATAAAATTTTGAGGAGGTCAGGTTTGATATATTACTGATGATGCAGATGGCAGAAAGATCGCAGACAATTTGGGAGGTGCTTAAAATAACCTCCTATAGTGTTTATCTGCCAAAAAATAAATGCACACCAACATATGATCCCTCGTCTAGTTGTGTTTACTGGCTTGAACGAGTGTTATGTTGGACAACTGTATTCATTGACATGATTTTCTGTACACTGTATTTACACTGTATTGTGTAAGCACTAGAAAAGTGTACACTAAGTCTGTTTTAAAAAATATTGTATATGTACTTGATAAAGTGGGCTTCATGTTTAAGCAACTTTGCCACTGACAACACTGCGCTAATTCATGAATACCAATAAGATTTATTAATAAATACATTACTTGGCAAGGAAGATGTACATGTAGTCCTAATTCATGATGACAAACAACTCTGTACAAAATGATTGTACTAAATTTTAAATACTGTATAATCCCTATTAACTGCGCAGACGCTTAAAAAATTGCAGAAAGGGGGTGGTTATTTTGGTATTCTCTTGAAAATATTCAATGTCATATTTTTACTTCAAAAAAAAACTTTTGAAAAAAAATAAATACAAAGAACCACAAATAAAAATAATGTCTAACTTCACTTTAAGTGAGGCCTACAAAAAAAATATGTTTGTTTCCGCTTTCCCGACCGACCCTAATTTATAGTGCCGACCCTATATATTTTTTTAATGCTTTGTCTCATGATGTGCAATATTTCAACCAGGGAATTATAGCCTCCAACTTTGCAAGCTTTTCAAGACAGAAAGAAGTTTGGGTCACCTTTCTATTATAAGTTAAGTCACAGTAATGCTTGAAAACACCATTTCTTTTGTCATTAATGTTACTTCTATACACGTTTTGATTAAAGAAGCAAAAAAATTTTTTTTCAAAAAAAAAAAAATTGCCTACCTACCTACCCTATATTATTGCAGCCTGAAAGTGGAAACAAACATATTTTTTTTCTAGGCCTGAAGATAATCTTAACCAAATTATCCTAAACGATTCAGGAGAAATTGGATAATATACAAGTTTCATTTTCACTTTCTTCAAATTTTGGCAGACTTTTGATACAATTCTAGATGATTTTAATCACTGTACTGGGGGCCCTTATTTCCTGACAATTGAAAAACAACTAGGGGGCGCTTAAAGGGGCAGGGGCGGTTAATATGGATTATACGATAAGCCACATTAAGTACACATAGTGATACAGTATATGTGTTTGTATTTAAGATGACTTGAATGTTCTTTAGAACACAATACACATTTTTCTATTCTCTTCATGGTAAGGAAAATTAAAAAAGAAGACTTCTCTACAATTTTAAAATATTTTAAAATTATTTTTTCAGATGTATGAGAAGCACCCCTTGGTGATCAAGAATATTGGCATCTGGCTGAGATACGTTTCCCGTAGTGGAATTCACAACATGTACCGTGAATACCGCGATCTGACCGCAGCGGGTGCTGTGACTCAGTGCTGTAAGTAAGGGGCTGTCATTCAAAAGAAGTATTATAGTGAATCTTAACTAATTGATTATTCCCCAAAATAATGTAAAGAATTTGTTTAAGAGCATAACATGTTCTGTAAAATAGGAAAATTGTCAAATTCATCACATGTCTATATATACTAAAGAAAACAATTCACCACATGTCTATATATATACTATAGAAAACAATTCAAATATTGTATGTTTTTGAGTTATCTTGCGATTCCAGGTATAAATTAAAATATCATTTGAAAAACAAATATTTCTTTTCCGTTGTGTAAATTGATAGAATATCGAGTTTGTCAACAAAGAGAATTTTTATGCTCGTTTTGGAAAATTCCTTTGCAATATGACAGAGTACTTTTTAATGTTCTTTAAATTATTTGTTTACAATGTTATAAATTGATAATTATATTACATTTATATACATTGATAATTTATTAATTATTTCTGTATGTTTTAAAGACCGTGATATGGGAGCCCGTCACAGAGCAAGAGCATCAACGATTCAGATCATCCGAGTGGAACAAGTGGAAGCCTCAAAGACACGCCGACCCAACGTCAAACAGTTCCACGTAAGTCATGAACTGGATTGTTGACCAGATGTTAATACCAAT